CTGAGGCAGCGCTGAGTTACAGCTCGGCTGCAGTCGGCCTCCGGCTCGCCCTCTGGCCGGGGCCCTGGGCACTCTTAGGGTGAGCCTTCCTTGCCAGCCTGGCACAGGACCGGTACTCGGCTGGAGCGAGGTTGAGCCCGACCACTTACGGAAGGCGTTTTGGCCACGGGGATGCAAGGGAACTCTGGGCACCAGCTTTAGGCTAGCGGCGGCTCGCAGCCTGAGCCTCCGAGGCGTCCCGACTCAACCCCCAGCCCTGCCACCCCTGCTGATTCCACAGAACACTGCGGCCACAGCGTCTTCCCAAAGATCATGTGGGCAGGCACTGGAGGTTTCCTGAACCGCCGCGTGCCGGTGGGAGGTCAAGATCCGCACCCAGGTCACCCCTGCTGCTGACCACCGGCGCTTCGCACCCCGCTACAGGTGTGGGGCAGAACTAAGAGGAAAGACCTGGGTTACGAGACGAAAGTATCTGAGCGCGTTGTATACGGTACCTGTGTTCCAATACTCCAGTAAAACCATCCCACGTAAGACGGGTGCCGGAACCACCCATACACCCCACTTGTCACCAAAGTATGAGTATCCGATTTCTCATTCTGAACAATATGGTTGAAGTTGGAGCCAGCTGTGAGCATGGCCGCTTTCCTCAGACAGTCCCCAAAGATCACCATCAACAACCCTACAGTACTCAGCCAGGTGATCTGCTTCAGCTCTGCAAGTGAATAAGGACGGGTCACAACAGGTTCGCACAGGTCGCGCTCGCGGTGCGGGGGCACGGGGGGCTGGGTCAGTGGCTCGGCTCTTCCCCCCCATCTCGAAGCGCGACGACACGCGAAACACAGCCAGCGTTCCATGTCCCCCCGACGCAGAGCCTGCACACCCTCGGGGCAGACCGCCCTGAGGGGAACCCGACGCCAAGGCAGAGCCCGGCTTTGCGGTGTAGAGCAAAGCCGATGTAACACACAGCCAAGCGGATGCACTTGGGCAGGAGGTGGGGAGCTCTGCAGCCCGCGCCGCCAGCATCAAGCAGGGAAGGAGAACACCTCCCCTCCCCAGCAAAGAGCAAGCACCCCAGATCAGGCAAACAGCAACAGCTTTTGCCAGTTTGATTTTATTCCAGGTCAAAAGAAGACGCCCAGATGTAAGTGAAGCGTTGCTCTTTGTGCTGCCAAAGTGGCGTGAAAGGCGCAGGCAGACAAGGGCCGAAGACGCACTGCACGGCACAGGCGGCCTGGCGTGCCGGAGCCGGGGGGGCACTCCTCCCGCCCCCCAGCCGCGGAGCCGACAGGCTTTGAAGGGATTACAGCCATGCCAAAGCCCTCCTCCGCTGCCGGCTCGGCTCAGCGGGGGTCACCAGCGCTTTGCTACCAGACGGGTGGGCCCGAGGCAAGCCAGGAGCAGCCAGCACTGCTGGGCAGAGCCAGGGGACAGCCAGCGGGAGGGTGGGCAGCATGAGGAGCAGGGCGGCCGACCTGGGAAGAGGAGCTTCTCCAGCGTGAACTCCACCCAGGAGGAGAGGGCGGCCAGGTTGTACTCAAAGCTGTGGTTGAGCAGGAAGGAGTCCAGCGAGAGGCTGCGCGGGTTGTTGATGGCCGTCACCAGGTACTCCGAGTAGTGGAAGAGCGAGAGGGAGCACATGTACCTGCGGCGGGCGGAAGGCAACGCTGGGCAGGGCTGGGGGCTGCCGGAGACCCCTA